TTACCTTCTGCCAGTAAATCCTACAAGAGGCTCTTTCTCCGTCCGCGGCCGCCAGCTTTGCGGCGGCGGCGGACGTCTCGACTGACAGTGGTCAGTCGGATGCCTCTCCCTCGTTCTTCCGGGTATGCGTCTAAGGGGGTTTCATTTTGCCGGGACGTCCCCTCCTGCTGCTTGTTACCAGTAGCTGCTTGTTACCCCTCCTAGCGACTGTTGCTTGGCCCCGGCTTCGCGTGGCCCGGGCTGGCGGTGCCGGGTCTGCTGACAGTTGCCAGCAGTGCTGGTTACTTTTGGTCTTGTTTTGTTGTGTGTGTTTGTGCAGCTTCTCGCTGGTAATGTGTGCCTGCCGGTTCAGCTTGTTCCTGCTTTGTTTTGCTTGAGGCACTTTTTACCTTCTGCCAGTAAATCCTATGTCCTCCCCCGACTCCGATGGGGGACAATAGTAGAGGGGACAATGGATTTACTGGCAGTGCGGCGGCATCGGAGGTAGGCTACGGCAGGCCCCGACGACCGGCGCGGAGCTCAACACCACTCGGGTGCCTCCGCCGGAGGCACCCGACGTCACAGGTGGCGCGCCGGCTCAGGAGTCCACTCTGGATGTTTCCCCCATCGGAGTCGGAGACTCGCCGGGAGTCCCGGCGGCGAAGACTCCTCGGGCGACTCGACAAAGTCTGAGGAGGAGCTGTCCTCTGGCTCCGACCGAGAAGTGCTTGCACCCGCAAGGGCCGCGTCACATGCGCCTCGCATCTTCCTTCCGAGGCTTCCTCCCCTCCGAGTCGGGGCCTCCCCCCAGGAGTAACTGAGAGTTTTACTCGCATAAGGTAAAAAGTGCCTCAAGCAAAACAAAGCAGGAACAAGCTAAACCTGCATGCACACAGCGCACAGCGAGAAACACAAAAAACAAGACCAAAAGTAACCAGCACTGCTGGCAACTGTCACTGAGCAGACCCGGCACCGCCAGCCCACGCACGACTGACCTTCGACTCTTCACAAAAGTCAGTCAGCCTCCGTTCAGTGTACCTCGGGCGTCTGTCACTGCCGGGCGATGTCCCCTCCAGCGTATTTTTCTGCCACAGTATCCACCCCCTGCTCCTCCATATCGCAGAGCTTTTCCCTCTGTTCGAGTCTTGGCCTATGCCGTTCAACCGTTGCAGCTACGTCCGCTATGAAGAAGTACATGTTGGCCGATCTGCAGCTTGCGATTCAACCTCGCGAGTCGAAAGTTTACATCCCCTCCTGGCATCAACACCCTGATCTCTCGCAGCTGAAGAAGAGCCTTAAGCGCCGTCTCAAGACTCAGCTTCTTCACTTCGAGGTCGTCACTGGCGGGATTACACTTGGAGGCCTGCCTATCGGCACCGATGGATTTCATGCTAGTCAGCTCCGAGCGAAGGTTTCTACCCTCAACGAAGAGCTTTCGAAGCTCGGGCTCGTCCAGCATGGCTTCATGTTCAAGACGCTGGTGAGGGCGAGCCATCTCCAGAAGCTGCGCTTCTTCCTCCAGGGAGTCACAGATTCGTCGCTTTGACCTCTCTGTCCACCTGGCGCTTGAGAAATACCACCGCTGGCCTTCCTCGCAGTACCTCTCTGCCCATCCCGACCTGCTAGAGCTTGCGAGGTTCAAGCGGGAGCTTCCGCATACTAGGCTACGGTAGGGGAGGGGACGAGTTCATTGCTTGAGGCACTTTTTACCTTCTGCCAGTAAATCCGTCGTAGTTCACGCCCTCTGAGGGTCTACACCCCGCTGTTTACTATACGGCTATCGCTCGCTTCCTCGCGTGGTACTCTGACCAGCCAATGATCACGGACGCTGCCAGGCTGCCCTCTCCTCATAGCCTGGACGTTCACTGCTCGAGATCTCTCCGTGCCCAGAAGCATCCTCTGGCGACCTTCTTCGTTGAGGCGCACGACTTCCGGGTAATGGATTTACTGGCAGAAGGTAAAAAGTGCCTCAAGCAAAACAAAGCAGGAACAAGCTAAACCTCCTGGCACACAGTCCACAGCGAGAAGCTGCACAATCACACACAAAACACAAGCCCGAAAAGAACCAGCACTGCTGGCACCCAGACGCGGCAGCGCCAGCCCAAGCGCGAAGCCGCGCAGACAAGCAGCCTAAGGGTCAAGCAATCAAGCAACAAGCAGCAGGAGCAAGCAGGAGGAATAAAATCCCTTAGACGCGATACCCGGAGGCAGCCGACTGACCACTGTCAGTCGAGACGTCCGCTGCCGCCACAAAGCGGGCGGCCGCGGACGGAGAAAGGGCAGCCGCCGACAAGGAGCCGTGTTGCCCGGGGGTCCGCCTGGGGCAGCGGACGGAGGCCCGGCTGGACACAGGAACACGGTACCGCTCGAGGTAGTCCTCCTCGCTAGCCTCCGAGTCAGCGGTAGCCGAGTCAGTGGTAGCCGCCCGTGACGGCGGCGACGCCGCGGCAATGCCCAAGGACCGGCGTGACCCGACCGATGCCGGGGAGGAAGCAGGCGAGCTCGGACCAGCAGCAAGCACCCCAGTGGTGTCGAGCTCTCCGGAGGCAACCGACGTCACAGTGAGGGACGGAGACGCCTCGCCAGCTCCGCGCCGATCGTCGGGGCCACTCGAAGGGTGTCCCCCATCGGAGTCGGAGACCTCCGGCGAAGACTCCTCGGGCGACTCGACAAAGTCCGAGGAGGAGCTGTCCTCTGGCTCGAGAAGTGCTTGCGCCCGCAAGGGCGTCATGCGCCTCGCACCAGACAAGAGCGCCTCCAGCGTCAGCTGCATGGTGAGGCGCTGATAGGTGGCGGCGCGTTTGCGAGCCAAGACCTCAGCAGCAGGTCCGTCATCAGGCACGAAGTGCCGACCAAACGCCGCATCCTCAAGAGGCATTGAGCGCTGAGCAATGATGTCCGCGAGATACCAGATGAAGCGGAGGGTGTCAGGATGCAGGGTACCGTCCGTCGAGATGGCAAGAGCATTCATAGGATTTACTGGCAGAAGGTAAAAAGTGCCTCAAGCAAAACAAAGCAGGAACAAGCTGAACCGGCAGGCACACAGTCCACAGCGAGAAGCTGCACAATCACACACAAAACACAAGAACGAAAAGAACCAGCACTGCTGGCACCCAGACGCGGCAGCGCCAGTCCAGCATGTAATCTTCTGGCAAATCAGCTG